TTTCTAGTCATCTGATGGATGGTGATTTTCTTCCTGATTCTTGACGTTCAATCTGTGTTGACAGGTGTGCAGGAGGAGGTGATCTGCAATCTCTCTTCTGTTCCGTTTTCACTCTGTTTCAGATTCAGTGGGAATTGAGGAGTATTCTGACCCTATTCATGTTCAGATGTTTGGTTCCTATTCACTTGGACCTGTCTAGACACTTAGTGCATAGAGGCCAGTAGAAATGAATCTGAAAGAGGGAAGTCTCAGCAGAAAATCTTCATTTTTAGTAAAGAAAACCAATATTTCACAGCTCAAGTTTGGTATCCATCTCAGCTAATATTTTATGTCCAGACACTATGTTAGATGCCTGACTTGAATGCTTTTGTTTAAACAGCACACAAATTATATCCATTTTGCAGATTGTGTGAAATACTTGCCCAGAGTCACATAGCTACCAAACAGCAGGGCTGGGGTTCCAGACTAGAGCTCATTCTGTCTATTCTGCTGATCACATAGTCCTTGCCTCCCTTCCCAGGGTGCCCCTCCACTCCGCACATCAAGAGCAGATTCTGTTTGAACCCCTGTTCTCATAGGCAAAGGCCACACTAATGGGTCAGGTCCACAATTGGTAGGATTTCTTCAGCTTGCAAATGCACCATGATCATCATCCACCCTTTTCTTTTTCTTTCCCTCCTTCCTTCCCTCCTTTCCTCCCTCCCTCCCTCCCTTCCTTCCTCCCTTCTTTCCTTCCTTTCATCTTTCCTTCCTGCCAGAGAGCACTTGTGCTCACCAGAGAATAAAAACACTCTCCACCCAGGGGTGGTTATACACAGTCCTTTTTCCTCCATTCCTCCTTCTTGTCAGGATTTTGGACACACGCACACACATGCATACACACACAGACACACACACACACACACACACACCAAGAATACTTCCAAGTCACTGGGACAGATCTTCAAACCATGGTTGACCATGTGGGATCTGGCTCCCTGACTGCTAGCCCCCTGCTTTTTCCTGATTTTCATGTATGCATTTCTTTCTTGGTTAGCCTTACCTACCATCTGAATTCCAGCAAGGAAACTTGTGGAATAACTGTCAGTTTCAAAGTATCTGTTGTCAACACCAACCCTGTCATGGGAATCTGGTTTCTCAGGTTTTCCCTGACCAAGGAAACTCATGATTGATCTTGAGAGCAGATATGCTGCACATTTGAGTTCTAAGGTGCTAGCAGACCTTCCTTTAGCAGGATCTTCTGAAAATCTTTTGAAGCTTTTAATCAGATTTTTGTGATTGAGACATGAAAGGGGCTACATTTTTTATTTTCTTTAAAAAAATACATGTATTTATGTAAAAAAAAATGACTCTATTTAAGCAGTTATGTTAATAACACACATTTATAGGATAAAAACCTACGAATGACCTAACTAAAGCAGACTATACCGCTCCTCCCACTTATTCCATTGGTGACCAGTGAGAACTCATGCTGGCTGTGCCTGGTGTACCTCCAGGCATAGATAACCATGCTTCAATTTAGAGCACTGGTTCACTCAATGAGTATTTGTTTATCAAGGACAAAGTGCCAGTTATGGCCAAGGAGCTCACATATTTCTGGAGGAATGAGATAAGTGAAGTCCTTTACATGCAGTAAGATACAGGCAACACCAGGGGGCGGTCACGGAGTGCTTTGGGAGGGCCACACATCCAGCTGAGGAAAGGTGCTAGTCCTCTTTGGCATTAGCCATTACAGAAAGGGTGGTAAGCAGGCAGGAAGGTCAGCAGGTACCCATGAGTTACCATTTCTGGTGTTGTCTCTTTCTTTGTGGAGTTTGAAATTTTTTTTTTTTTTTTGAGTTTGAAAATTTTTCAGCCATTGTTTTTTCAGATTTGTTTATGTATCTTCTGTCATCTCACTTTTTTTCTTTTTTGGTTTTACTATAAAGGCATGTGTGCTCACCGGGGGGGGGGGGCAAGGAGTGAGAAATCACCCGCCAGGAAATCCCTTCTCCAGTTTCTTCAGGATTTTGAGCACTCAAGCATACTCTCACTCCTCAACCCCACATATGATTTTCTTTTCTCTTTTTATTTTTTAGGTTTTTTCCATAGGACATGTGCACTCACCAGAGGGAGACAGAGAGAGGGAAAGTGATGAAATCACCCCACATGGGGAATGACCATGCGGCAATCACTTCTCTTCCATTCTTTTCCTGGGATTTTGGACATGCACACGTACTCAGCCTGAATTCCAAGCATCCAGGTCCAGGGTTGGAACCACAGTTAGCCATGTGGGAGTCTAGCGTCTTAACCTCTATGCTACCTGCTGACCCCATCTGCATGTAATTTTCAAGCCACTGAGTTTGGGCCTCGAACCACACAATCAACCATGTGGGATCCAGTGCCACAACCCCCATGCCACCTGCTGGCCCCTTCATCACATTTTTAGGGACTCTAGTTATACATACATTAGGTCCTTTAAAGTTCTGTCGTAGATAACTGACACTCTATTAATTTTTTTTTTTTTAGCTTTTTTTTGGGGGGGAGAGGTTTTATTGCTTTAGGGCACATGCACTCGTCAAAAAGTGAGAAATCATCCCCCAGAGGGGATGGCCACGCCACAATACCTTGTCTTTTATTCTCCTCTCCTCTCGGGATCTTGGGCATACACGCGCACACACATGTCCAAAATGAGTTTAAGCCACCGGGTCTGGGACTCGAACCGCGGTCGGCTACTTGAAAGTCCAGGGACATAGCCATTACTCCAACTGCTGGTCTCAACACTCTATTAATTTTTGAAAAATTAGATTTTGTCTCTGTTTTTAATTTTTGGTAGCTTCTATTGCTGTGCCTTCAGCTTCATTAAACGTTTCCTTGTCAGTGTCTAATTTGGTATTAATCTCACCCAGTATATTTTGACTTCTTACATTATAGTTTTCATCTCTAGAAGCTTAATTTGGATCTTTTTATATTATTTTCTGTTTTTCTACTTCAATTTTGGAATATATGAAATACAGTCACAGAACTGATTTAATGTTCTTGTCTGCTAATTCTCAAATCTGTATCAGTTTTGAGTCAGTTTTGATTGACTGATTTTCTCATGTGCAATATTTTTCTTTTACATTTGATAGTTCTCTGTCAGGTACCAGGCATTGTGAATTTTGCCTGTGTTGGATATTTTTGTGTGTCATAAATATTTTTGAGTTTTGCTTTGAGATGCAGTTAAATTGCTTGGACACAGTTTGGTTTTTCCAGAATTTGCTTTTAGGATTTTGGATGCATCACCAGAGCAGGATTTAGTCTAGGACTAAACTATTCTCCACTCTTGAAGCAAGATGCTTCTGAAAATGCTACCCAATGTCCTATGAATTATGAGATTTTCAATCTGGCTGGTGAAAACAGGATCAACTCTGTCCAAGGTCCAGTCATGGTTTTCTCTAATTTTTTTGATATGGTTTCTTCCCAGGCTTTAGTGAGTTTCCTCACATGTATGTTGATCAATTATCTACTGACAACTTGGGATCCTCCGTATGTCTCCTCAGCTTTCTCCTGCAGTCCTCCCTTCTCCATGGTACTCTGCTATGAATTTTGCTGCCTTGGTCTTAGCTCTTTCACCTCAACTCAGGGAGCCTACAGGGCTGCACGTGGGTTTCCCCTCTCTATTATTCTTCTCAGACTGCCATAAGAAAATAACATGTGCTGGTATTTTCTTATGCAACAGAAGTTTATTTTCTCACAGTTTTGGAGACTGCAAAATGCTAGCAAATTCAGTTTCATGTGAGGCCTCATTTGCAGGCTTGTACTATCACCTTCTTGCTGTGTTCTCACATGCCTTTCCTCTGTGCTTGTGTGGAGAGAGAGCTCTGGGGTCTCCTCCTCTTCTTATAAGGACACCAGTCCTGTCAGGTTAGGACCCTACCCGTATGGACTCATTTAATTATATATTTGTTTTTTGCTAGAGGCTGTGTGAACTCACCAGAGAGAGACAGAGAGAGGGAGAGAGAGGAAGCACCCCTAATGGGGCCTAGTCATTACACAGTCCCTTGTCTCCATCCTACAGGGATTTCGGGCAGGCACACACATGTACCTGTTGTGTTTTTCCAGCTGCTGGGGCCAAGATTTGATTTGTGGAGTTGGACATGTGGGGTCTGGCTCCCTTAATCACTAGGCTATGGATCTGGCCCTCATTTAATCTCAGTTATCTCCCCAGAAACCCCATCTCCAAATACAGTCACATTGGGAATTAGACCTTTGGGCTGGGGATACATTTCAGTCCATAGCACCTTCCCTGTGCCCACAGTGTGGAAATTGAAGGCAGCAAGCTGGGAAGGGCTCACCTCACTTGTTTCCTGTGTCTTGGAAATCATTCTCCTTCACTGCCTAATGTCCAGTGTCTTGAAAACCATTGTTTCATGCAATCAGTCTGGTTTTCTAGTTGTTTGAGGTAGGAGAAACAACTATAATTGAGAGACGACTTTTTGAAATGATACCCAGGCTGTGAGCATTTTCCTGTGTGTGTGTGTGTGTGTGTGTGTGTGTGTGCGTGTGTGTTGTTTGTATATGTTTTTTGCAGGTAATACCTTCACTGTTGAAAGCAAGATCTTTGAAACTGTTGACCGTAGAGATTTGCCAGATACTTAGTTTCCACAGAGTCAGGGGTTGGCAAATAACCCGATCACAGAATATTTAGCATCAGGTAAAATTTAGCCTGTGTTCAAGTAGAGGCCAGGCATCAGCTTCTCCATGCATCCTTGGGGTGCCAAATCACTTTGACATCTGCTGATTGATTTTACATTGCACAAATATATACCGTTCAGAGCCACAGCCCACAGGGGTAGCGGGAGATATATTCAAGGTGGGTTGACTTTTAATCAATACGATGACAATATTATCTTGTTTAATTTGTATGATGGTGGTTTTAAACATCAAATCAAGCAGTTTATTATGTCAAAAAAGATGAAAGAGCACAGGAATAAAATTCTCCTGACATCACTTCTGAGCATATTTCACTGTTGTGACAGGCCATCATGATTGGGGACGATATCGTGGGTGATGTCGGCGGTGCCCAGCGGTGTGGAATGCGAGCGCTGCAGGTGCGGACTGGAAAGTTCAGGTCAGTGCCCTGGGGCAGGGTTCATTTGCCTTCCTGACTTTCTTCTCTTTTTGTTTTGTTTTCTCAAACAAAGAGACTGTTCTTTCCAAAAATATAGAATAGAAGTGTGTGGGCATTTGCTGTCTCGTATGTAATTGTCCTCCAAGGATGGGCCCTGCCAACCTTTTGTAGCAGAAAGTTATAAGTTTCAGTGGCTTTTGGGACAAAGTCCAAGTTTTAAAATTAATTTGAATAGGTGTGAAGTGAGGCAAAGAAAAGCAAAAGCAGGCCAGCTAAGCGGCATGGTGGCTAAGGCAGCTGGATTCCACATGACCAACTATATGATTCAGGTCCTGGACCCGGTGGCTTGGGCATGTGTGTATGCATGCCCAAAATCCCGAGAGGAGAAGGAATGGTTGCATCAACCTCCCCGGGTGGATGGGGTATGCTTTCTCACTTTCTCTTTTTCTCTCCCTCTCTGTCTCTCTCCTGTGAGTGCATGCACCCTATAGCAAATATATAAAATATAGAATATATATGCTATATATACATAAAATATATGTATTTGTGTATGTTTATAGATATATGTATATGTATATGTATATATCCATCTCTGGTGGCTGCCTACCAGAGACTTGGGTGAATTTGGGCTGTAGTCCCCTTGGCAATGTGTCTAGTTTCTTCCCTGTGGTGAACACTCAGCACCTTTGGGCTCCTCCTTCTCCCTTCACCCTGACTTCTACATTCTTGGAGATACAGAGAATCTAGAGATGACAAGTGGCTGATCAGGGATGTTTTGGAACTGAACTTCTATCTTGAGAAGACACTTGTGTTTTATTTGCTGGACCAAAAGTCCTTCTGGTCTGAAGCAGGTCACTGATGGGCACCTGTCGGTGCAGAGCACTTCTGGGCATGTGGAATCCCCTAGGTGACCAGGCACTGGATCACTGGTCATTGAGAGTGTCATAGACATCAGAGTATCCCCTTGCCTTATTCTAGCTGGTTTCAATTGTGGCCACTCAGAGAAAGGAGTTTTGTGGGTGCTGGAGAAGCTTGGTTACATGTGTTTCCCTGGGGGCACTTGGACTGATGAGGGAAGTGACAGTCTGTTCCATTTGTCCTGAGGGATCTGCTCAGGCAGGACCAGAGGACATAGGTTAGAGGGCCTGATTCTCCATCAGAGGTCTCTGGTCTGTATGAGGAACCCAAGGAACCTGTGAGGTAGGGCCCATGGGGGAGCAAGGGGAATGAGGCAGACTTGGCTCACCTTGGGGTCTCAGGTTGGGAAGCCCAGTCTCTTTTAACCACCTCCTGGACTCTGCAGGGCTTAGAGGAACTGAGGAAGCCTCTGATATGCCTGAAATGCAGACCTTCTTTCTTCCCCAGAGAGGCCGTCCTGGCTCACCTTGGTGATGCCTTGCCTAAGGGAGTGAGGGAGACCTCACTCACATTCTTTCCAAAGATGAGCCTGCAGCCCCAAGCTCCCCAAGTCCACCCTTCACCCAAGGTCCTGCTGTCAACCTGCAGGTGAAGCGCTCCCCCCGAGCAGTGAACTTGGAGCCCTTCAGCTGACGTGTAGAGCCTGGTGCTCTTCTGCAGGGCGCTGGCCTGTGGTCAGCCTTCAGGGGCCCATGCAACAGGGGCCCTGTGCATGCTCAGTGTACATCACTGACTGATGTGCACACGACTGATGCTTCCTTATTTAAAAATGCAGAGAGGTCTGGCTTGGCAGAGGTAAACACTGAGAACTCAGGTTTGTTTAGTCTTCTGGTTTCATGGGGGAGAAGCATGTTGCCTGTCTTAAATGCAGCCTCAATTGAGGTCTCTCTGGCTACCCTAAACTGGATGCCCCTATAGGCTGAAGTACATCAGTATTGCTCCAGGCCCCAAGAGTGCCTTTAGGCCCTGGGTCTCTGAAGAAGGTCCCACGTGTAGTTTGGAAGCCCACAATGAGCAGGTGGGTATCTGGGAGGCACCTCCCACTTTTGCCATCAAGGGCCATCGCTTTTTAGATTCCAGTTATCTGTGTGCCATTTAAAGAAAAATGCAAGCCGGGCATCCCCCAGGACCCGGGATGTTGCAGAGATAACCTCCATCCAGTTCGCCAAATCCTTCCAGACTGCCTTCCCGGTGTAGAAAAACATGCCACTCGTGTTTTGTTTTTATCTTTTATAAAAAGTGGGTTTATATTATTTTGCAATCTCTTTGTTTCTGAAACGCTGTTTTATAGCATCTTTCTACACATCTTCATCATTTTAAGCACCCGAGAAGATGCTGTGTGGATGTCTCAGTTTAGTGCCTGGTACGTAACACACCCTGGAGATCGTCGGGGTGGTGGTGATGGTGCTGCCGATGGTGCTTTCTGTTGGGCTCCAATCCAGGTTGAGTCAATGGCTGGAGCCAATGAGGCTTAGACCTTTCTATTTTTGAAGGCATTTAAAATGCCAGATTTTTGTATTTGTTTGTAAGGAAGCAACTCTGCCTTTGTTATCCCGCCGGACAGAAAATGAACCTTAGTTCAGGTAAGGTGGAACTGAGCCACCCAAGGGAAAGATGAAACGGGCATGAAAGGAGGTCAGGTTCTGTCTGCATGGGCACCAAGGCAGGTCAGGTTCTGGGTGGAGAGGTATGAGCCTGTCGAAGGGGCAGGTGCTCTCAGTCCTGGGGGACTCTCAGGAGTCATGCTGTCTGATACAGGAGCCACGAGCCGGAGGTGGCAACCAGGCACTTGAAATGTGGCCAGTTCAAATTGAGAGGTGCTGGAAGTGTGAAATGCACACTGGATTTCAGATGCTGAGTTGGGGAGAAAGACGGTGAAAGAGCTCACTGGTAATTTTCTATATTGAATACATGTTGACATGCTGATAGTTTCTTTCAGTTTCACCTGTTTATTTTCATTTTCATTCACGTGATTACCAGAAGGTATTTGCTTGCCTCTGTGACTGCCGTCGGCCCAGGTGAAGGAGATGGCCCATGTCCCTGCACCTCTCCCTTCTCCCTCCAGAGGGCACTCATGGTGCACAGATGCACTCTGAGGAGGCTTGGCCTGCTGGAAGGGCCTCAGAGCTGGGGCCTTGCTGTGTTAATCCAGAGGCCTCTGTGGCTCCTGTCGCAGTGCTCCCTGTGGATATGCGGCTGGCTCGGGGCCACTGAGCAGCCTGAAGTCAGTCAGGCACCCAGGCAACCAGGCCCACACCACTGTCCAGCCTCCTGTGCACCTGCTCATCCTCCCAGGCTGCTGCACCTGAAGCTCCTCAACCCTCTGGCTGCCTCTGAGCAGGTGGCACCAGTGAGGAGGCTGGACATGAGCTGTGGGGGGCAGGAGCTGCGTCCTGGCTGCGACTGAGGCATGCCCTTAGCCCTGTGCTGGGCCTCTCCTCCCAGAGGCCCTGAGTGGCCTCCCAGGAGCTAAGGCCTCTGGGTGTGTCAGGTGGGCATGGGATGGCCTCCCAGGCCCTGTCCTCCCCTGTGGCCTTGTCATGGGACACGGGTGGCAGAGAGCCACACAGTATGCAGGCAGGAAGGACCTGGAGCCTTGCCCAGGGGAATCATGGTCACATCTCCTGTGGTGACCCCACCCATCTCAAGCTGGGGGAGGCTCTGGTAGACAGCTCACACACTCGCCACCCAGCAGGGCTGCCTGGAGCCGTGGACAGAGAAACACAAAGCTTGCTTTTCATGCCTGTTCTGCATGGAAGTCCAGCCCGCCAGGGTGCAGCCTTCACCTGGCTGGCAGGTAAATGGCTTTTGGGCACTCTCTCTACCTGCCCTGTATAGCATGGTCTGTGCACTGGGCATCCTGGCAGAACCTACCAGCCCAAGACCAGGAGGCTGCTGCTCCTTTAGGGACCTCCGGGTCTCAACATAGGGCCCTCCTGTCCCAGGCCCTGGACAGTGTTTCCTCTTGTGGGAAATGATCTTGTCCAGTGGGTTCTGGCCCATGATGGCAAAGGCTCATGGTCCCAGTGAGTCCTGGAGACCTGCTGGGTACTGGCTAGCCTGCTGCGAGGGGCCTTTTCAGAGGAAACAGCTAAACCCTTTCACAGGGCCCCTGGCAAGGTTTTACAGAGGCTGGAGCTCCACCGATCCCACCCCATCGGGCAGGGGCTTTTGCCACCACTTTCTTCTTTTTGGGAACATCCTACCCTTGTGGGCAAATTCTGCAGCTGAGCTGCAGGTACAGGTGGGCTTGGCTGGAAAGACTGCTGCCAGCTGTCTCTGGGGGCTCCTGCCTCCCTTCCTTCTTCCCAGGGCAGGCCTCATCCTTCCTGGGGTCTGGGGTTGGCCTGGGCCCTGGGCTCTCTCATTCTGGCAGATACAGGAAGGAAACCGCTGCCCAGTTTCAAGGTGCCCTCTGTCCCCCGTGGAAGAACAGCTGTCAGCACACCTGAAACAGAACCCTCCTATCCCTTTGTGTCCCCTCCTGGGGACATGCCAGAGACTGCACAGCATTGTTCTCTCTGTCCCCCTGTCACTCTACTCGCCATCCTCTGGTGGAGCACCCACCACAGCCAGTACCCTGTGTCTGGGGCGCAAATCAAAGGTGTCACTGCTGGAAAAGTCCCCGAGCTAGTCATGGCGTTGCCATGTAAATAAGCCTGCTACACGGAGCTCGCAGTAGATACTCTCTTGTTATTTACTCAAGGTTAGAAGATGTTTTATGAGCCCAGAACGTTCTTGACAAATAGCTTGCCCTTCTGGACTCGGGAGGGAAAGTTTCCTGGCTCAGGACTTCAGATGTCCTGCCAGGGCCCCTCCTTGCAGGGGCTCAGGTGCTTCTTTTGCACCTGACCTCCACTGGGGCCTGGGTGCGGCCGGGGGCACTCCACCAGTGGGGCTGCAGCTAATTTGCACTCCAGCTGCCTTGCACAGGCTGGAGGGTGAGGGCTTATAGAATGTTTGAGGGCAGAGCCGGAGCTGACCAGGAGGAAGAATGCCCCAGAGCTTGGCCCCAGTGCCTGTGGAAGCAGCTGTTGTTAAAGCATCACCCTTGGGTATTCTGTGTGTGACAACGGAGTTCT